ACTCAGTGTTCTAAATCGCCACTAGACAAACGCTCTTAAATACAATGATAACATTTATGGACACAGATGCAACCGTTTTTGGTCCAAGTTACGATGATTCCTACACAATGTTTATTCTAACCATACGAGCGAATATTAACTAATAGAGGAAACCCATTGGTGCATATCTGTAATTTGAACACACGACCTGTTAAGTGTCGCAAAACCTCTAGTTAATATAAATCACGTCAAGTTTTGTTCTAACACGTTCTCAATGATAATTCCGCGGTGAGTCTATAAACTCCCAGGTTAATAAAAGTCTATTTTTATCAATTCATTCTTCTCAATGGAGCAGTTACACGCGGCACCTATTGTTAAGCTGTTACGTGGGCACACATACATAGAATAAATTCTTTTCAACAACATTTGTGTTTGTTTAGTAAACGTGTAAATGTCATATTCAAGTTTACTGAAGTTCAGAGACGAGACCTAGCGCTTAAATCAAAATCAAAATCATTTATTCATATAGGTTACACAATGTACGCTTATGAAAGTCAAAAAGAAATATATATTAAATGCTTCTAATTTTACATTTACTGCCAATCAAGGGCATAGAACGAAACAGAAGAACTGGCAACAAACTCTCCGCCACTCTTTTTAAATAGCCAAGTTTTTTTGTTTCACAATGTTTGTAAGGAGCTGCAACCATTACACCATGTTCCACATGACATCTTAAGTAAGTAATAGTTTATTAATAATAATAACATAAATTAAAAACAAAAATTGGTCCTCTATCAGCAGGAGGCATGGTGAAATAGGAGCACGCACTTACATTCTCGTGGGAACAACACGCAAATATATAGTCGAAATAACTAACATCACCGCATACACGAATTCAAGTCCGACCAGTCACCACAAGTAGCACCCGTTCACGAGTATGTATATGTTAAGTATGAAGTCAATGTTAACTTAATGCGTTTTCACATACGGGAGTCGCACTTGCGCTTAGGTGGTTAAATTACTAAAGGCAAGGTGTATTTATAATGTGGAAAGTTGACCATAAGTTTTGACAACAATTATAAAATATACCTGTTATTATTATGAGTTTGTGATAAGAAACTTGACATTTGCTTCCGTTTTTATATGGCTGCTAGTGTGTTTTTTTGAAGTGAAACTTCTTTATCGAGGTTGGAAAAAAAATTTAGTGTAACATTTTTTCGTTACGCGTCACATTTTTCGGTTACGCGCCATGTTGCTTTTTGAAGTCAAACTTCTTTATCGGCGTTGGAATGAAACTTCTTTATCGACGTATGGGAGAAATTTTGTAGCAAATCGTCACGTTTTTCAATGATAGTAATAATTCTATTACAATTAATGAAATTCTATAATAATCTTCGTAGTAATAAGGTAAAATGAAATATTTGTATTCATGTCTATGATAATAAAAGCCTTTTGTTAAACTTTATCTAATTTAACGAATTTCTGTGAAGTTGCATATAGTAGTAGTATCATTTTTCGAAAATATAGTAGTAGTATCATTTTTCGAAAAATAAGATCATAAAGAAGTTTCACTTCTTACGTGTGTACACCTAGTACACGCACAATTTATTAATTATTATAAATTTTAATTAATTAATCTGAATGTACCACCTCTGCAAATAAACTATTTATTATTATTAAACTCAACTCTGAATCTGAGTGTTGGAATTCTATTTGACAGGTCTCACTTGTCTTTGAGTAAAGAATTTACCAAAAACTGCATGAGCTTCGTAGAGATAACTTGTAATCGAAGTGCACCGATATTCAAGACGGAATGTACCGTCTTTCTACCGACGGATTTTATTTTTAAAACAGGAAAACCTTTTACATTTGTTTCCTTTTAACAGACTATTAAAGCAATTGCGTTATAACTGATCAGCAGGGTTATGAGTCCGGTATAGTCTGCACCACTGCCGGCTTGTGGCTAACGCACAGTTTTCACTGGGGGTTCGATTTTGGGAATAACATTTCAGATAGGCACAGAATTTATATCCTACTATCCTTAAACTTATCAATGAAACAGTGGCAGAGATATGTATGTCCCAACGGGGAGAAGTAGGAGTCAAACACACCCAAGTATCCATACTACTATAGTAATCGTATTTCTATAAATCTGATTACCAGTATTTTAAAAATTGTTGTTGCATAAGCAATATTGATATAAAAATAATTCAATAATACTCTGAGATTAAATCAGAAATCTATGAAGATTTCTATTTCGAGAATTTCGCATTCAAAGCGAACAGTGCTAGGAATATTAAATTCACTTTATATAAAGCTTTATTAAGTCAAGTATGTCATCTCGAGATTATTAAAGTAATTCATAGTTTTAGAATAATTAAATCAGTAAAATAACTAAATTAGATTTTGATACTTAATTTCTATTAATAATCAACAAAAATGGGTTTAAGGAATCGAAGGAAACAAATGAATGAAAACATTGAATAAACACAATTTTGAATAAATATTTTAATAACACCTGTCTAGACGGTCACTAGTCTGACACCCTAATGCTCTTAGCTAGGAAAATGCTTGCCATGCGTTTTGCGAGAGCGAAGTGTTTTCCTACATTTCGGTAGCAAAACTTAAATTTCTTATAATACGTGTACGTTACGATACTTATTATATAAGTTGAATATAATTTACTCGAAAATATTCTCAATAAATCAGTTGTTAAAGGAACAAAGGAAAACGAAATATCAATAATAATATAAAACAGCGAATACTCGTATTTCAAACATGGACGCCAACTTCGCGTTGCCATGGTTACGTTATTAGATGGTAGTATCGTTTCTATGTCTTGAATAAAAATGAAATTGATTTTATGTGAGTTTTGCATGGATTATGTACGGTTTAATATAAGTCGAGTCAACATCAAAAAGCCAGATTAGGGTTTTAAAAGTTACAATAAAATAAACTTCTTAAGATTATAATTCATCAATCTAAATATGTTACAAATAAAACAATATATATATATATATATATATATGTAAACAACCTAAAGGCAGGATCTTCAAGTGCTAACTAGCTACATGATGACTATACTATTTTAATTTGTACCTAAACTTTTGTGCAGTATTACCTAAACTAAGCACATAAATCCCACATCGCTCGTTCAATTCCTAGTGGACCAATGCTTCTTCATATGTGGGCAATTAACAGGAGTATAAGGTAAAGGAAATCATCGTGAGGAAACCGTCACAACTCTGACCCAAAAATCGATGTTTCTCAGACACACACTTGACTATGGAAAAAAGCCAGAGACCTACAACCTTTTTAGTCTGTCTTAGATTTCTGAATCTGTTTCGTGATTGTGTTTTTTTTAATAGACAAGTATCAGCCTTCTATGCCTGATACACGCCGTCAACGCTTTGGGTCTGAGGCAAGCCAGTTTACGAGAGGAATCCGGCGAATGTAATGCGCACATACGACCTCAGGGATGACAGTCGCACGCTGAATCAATTCGGACAACACTATACAGTGGTATAGTTTTAGAAATCGGTCCAGTAATGTTCGAGTTTATTCGTTATGAACATACAAAATACAAATCTTTGCTCGTTATAATACTAGTTTAGATTGATCCATTAAATGTTAAAGGCAGGTTTAAAATAATAACAGAATTCCAACATACATTTATTAACAATTTATGTAGTCTTTACATTAAATGTAATTACTACTATGAGCATTTTTGTGCTTTACTAGTAAAGAATCGCGTACAAGAGAAACAAATATCATACATATTCCTTATGAACTAAGCTAGTTTAACAAATACCTTAAATACTTATTTCAATAACACGGACACAAACATATCAACTTTATATAGAAGTGAGGAATATTTCTAATATTAAGTATACTTTAAGAAAGAAAAAAATATTTCAAAGGAAGATAATCACTTAAAACTAAGATTGTCGCGGTAAAAACAACCTACATGAACAGTAACTCGCAATAGCTATAGCGATTTAATTTTGTGATTTAATCTCGACTTAAATATTTTCTGCCGCGTGATTCCATCAGCGCTACTAAGAAGTACATCGAAATTACACACAAAAAGAAGCGAAAAAGAACCAGTGGCGATGTTTACAGTTGTTTTTAGAAATAAAAGTTTTAGTAAAAGTAGCATTGTCTTTTATTTACCCAAATTCTAAACGTTTTAACAAGAAATAGTAATAGGTATATTTTTAAAAATTTTTTTTGTTAAGTCTGGGGTATGATTTGCAATATTGATATGGTCATTAAAAGATGTTGTTTGGTTAGCTGATTACGTAAAAACTGAAGACAGAAGGTCCCTTAAGGAAGGACTGAATAAATTGGCATTAGTATTACATTTATCACAACTTTTGACGATAGAGTTGCGACTTGCGAGGCTTGGTTATTTACAAGTTATGTTTTGATAGTATTTGTTATTCCTAGATATGAGAAGGGGTTTTCCCAGCAGCATGCGTATATTAGCTCATAAATGTAGAAAGTTCTAAGTCACCAACTGTTAAATGCTTTTCATATATTTATCGTTGGTGTATTTGGATAAACATTACGTCAATTAAATATAGTTATGTACGAAGGCATAATTACGGCACTATATTCAAAACCAACAACCATATTATCTCAGTTCATAACTTAGGGTAAGATTTAGAGTCGACACTTACCGCTAGTCTAACTCACATACGTCGAAAATTTATTCGATTTTGACATGTCATAGTTGTCGTGTGTGTTTCTGAATATCAAAATCTACCCTCAAAAAGCAAGCCTTGTGGGTATTCAGAAAATAATTGAACCGAAATCTAGGAACCTTGTTCTAGGAAAAGCTTATATTTTACACTTATTTTTATGAGAAAAAATTAAAAAGTCTTTGGTAACAACGAGCTACATGTTTATAATTTAGAAGTAATTAGTCTAAAAATAGGACGTCTGTGTATAAACAACCGCTGTGTGCGTCACACAAACTGTTGCATGACGTATGTGTGTTTCTCTTGTACGAACTTTTCTCATGGCACTGAAGTTTTGGCCCTGAAAAAAAATGTTGATGTGAAAGCGATATACTTAAAATCTGAAATAAATCGTGCAATATTACATCAGTATTGAATTTAATAAGATCTATTATAGATTGATAATATAAATATATAATTTGCATTTAAGATTAATAATCAGCTTGATTGCCCCAACCGTTTATCCAAATTTAAATTTAATGTATTCTCTAACGATACCCGAGGCATCCCATCGTTCCATTTGACCCTCCTTTCCGATGAACGCGTTTTGGCCAAAACTCACCGATATCTAGATTGAGCATTCTGATAAACGAGCACACTTTGAGATCAATTTTAGTTTAGTTCTTATAATTTAATTAATTTTGTTTATTATATCTTCGTGTATGTTATGTGTGCCTATAGGTGTTTGTCACATTGAAAATTGTATGTTATTGTTCTTGTACCAATGTATCAGTGAGCTAGCTTATATAAATAAACAATATACGTATATAGTATTACTGATGCTCAAGGTACAATAAACGCAAGAGAACGACAATTTAGAAGGAAACAGATTGGCAGAGAGGAATGGCGGAATTTGGAGGACGTCAAGAAAGGTTGAAAATTGAATTGAATTAAGACACAAAGGCATGGTTTATTGAATATAATAAAGGAATTAAACATACGTATGCAATCCATCAGAGTGCGAGGGTATCGGTGGAGGCCACTTATGCAGTTGAGCCCGCCACATGAGCTGACGAAACGTCATCCGGAACTGCCTCGACATAGAGCAATATAAAACGAAGTTAATGGCCCCATTCAACAACGCCAATGCGTCCATCAATTCGCCAAATAGATCGTAGCAACGTTTAAAGAAACATCGCCCTAATGCTCCACTCATAAGGCCCAAGATACCTTGAGGCAATTCTGTGACGAGGAACAAAAGCAACACGGCGAGGAGCATTTTTGTAGTTCTGTTCGTTCTCTTATCCCCTTTACACTGCCGCTTCTTTGTTTTGTCATTTGCACAGGCATTGTTCACTCGAATTCTCTTTTGATGCTCGTTTGCGCTATAAACTTCCTTGATTAGCCAGAGACTGATAACTGTCAGGATACAACAAGGTAGTAACTTTATTAGGACGGCGTGGACCCAGAAATTTAACTTAAATAATTGGCCTTCTTCATCTGAATCGACGTGGTATAAAATCATTGGTCCGTTTGGCTCTAATACCACAGCTGTGTGTATATCGAATACCTGTTAAAAAAATGGTTTAACAATGAACAATATAAGTAGTACAAGAATATAATTATAAATGAACTTGCTGGAAAATCTCAAATGAAATTACGCAAGCTTGCGGCACCAAGTTTTGATTGTATTATTAAAAAATATTACAACTTATTATTAAATGATGTATTATTTTTTTCTCTTCAATTACTTACAAATACAGATAAAAAGGATGCCGTTTATAGCATGTTTAAGAACCTAAAACAGTAAATACCCAACTAACAGCTATTTACGACAATGAACCTTGTGATAAAATTTTGTAGTCCCGTTTACACATCGTAGGCTCTATTGGGGTTAGGATTTAGTGGTAAGATTACTTCTTTCTTTAGGATTATTTTTCAATGATAACTGAAATAGCGATTGAATTTCAGAATGAGACGTCTATCGTCGCCCTAAATATTTGCCCCATAACGCCCTAACAATGTTTCTCATTTATAATTTTTCTTCAAAAGCAGACTAGGAAAGTCATACACCATTAGAGCCTGAAACATTTTAATCGATTAGTGTCAGAGTACTAAGCCGTTACAAAAGAGAGAGTACTTTAGAAATTCTAGTAAATACAAGTAACTCGAATATTTTAATAAAAATTTCAACAATACATATTTTTGTAAATTTCTCAATGTAATTTATTTAATTTATTCCGTGAAGAGAACGATCAAAAGATTCTTATTGAAATTTGTCATTTTTCATTTTCATTCAATGATAAAACGTAGATAATTTGATAAGAGAAAGTAGGAAATATCAATGAAAGATTCCGTTTGATTGATGTTTAGGGGAGAGAGCTCGACGGTAAAGCTTTAGCGAAATTCAATAGGTTTTTTGTAAGTTAATAGTCGTAATTTATGACGATTTTATCCTCCTCTTTTGTAGATACTAAATTAGTCTTGTCGCAGGATCTTATGACTAACTTCATAACATCGTTAACACAATTTGACAGTATAAAGGTGGGAACTGACCAAAGTTACGAGGTGTAATGTAGCATTCGCATCGAGCGTGTTACGCATCGAGCATATTACGCTGTGTTCTAAAATCGGCGTAACATGCTCGTCAAAACTCTGTGCTCCGCTTTCGCCAGTGTTCACGAGATGGCCAACAGCGAGGACGTGTTGATATCTTTCATTCTATTTAATTATTGTTTCATCCAAATTAAGAAGAAGAAGAAGAAGAAATGTTACTGGACATCAAACTTATTTAAAAACACAGGCGTATGAGGTGGTATTGATTGCAATATTAAAAAACCGAATGATTACTGGACAGTATAAAACCTTTGTACGCAAGTCTCGATTTTGAAGAACTGTTGAATTTAATTGGACCATAAGTACTCAAAAAAGACACAATTTATATAAAATCATAATCATGATCACTCGCGACGTGCAACGGGTACTGACTGAACCGCGTAACAGTCAAAGGATTCGCTGAAAAACCGACCGCTCGTTGCTCGCTTTGAGTCGCTGGTTTCCCCGTAACACGACGTACTGACTGCACGAATACTCGCTGTGTAACGTGTTACATTACACCTCGTAACTTTGGTCAGTTCCCACCTTAAGACGAAAACGTTATTTTTATGAAAGCATTGCTTAGAATTTCCTAATTTCACATTCGTGTTTTTCTCTTTAAATAAAATTTGTTTAAAATTAACGTTAACTAAGCTGTTGGCCTAGTGGCTTCAGCTAGCGACTCTCACTCTAACATTCTTTGACTTGGTCAAATAGAATGTGAAACACAGTAGGCTGATAACCTACTTGATTATTAGATCGATAAATGATCATGAAACAGATACAGAGATCTGAGGCCCAGACCTAGAAAAGTTGTAGCGCCACTGAGTTTTTTTTTCACCTAATGAGTTATGTGATTCACATAGTATTCAGACAGCTGTGGCTGACTTACTATTGAATACAATATGCCAGGCTACCTCCATTCGCCCATTTTTTGTATATCGAACATTAAAAAAGTATTTCCATATATAACTTGTTCTAAGCTTCTATTGTTGTGAGATTTCAGATTGTTGACAATTTTTTTGATGTGGAATAAATAAGTTGGTATTTATTTCCAAAGTGAAACAAAAATGAACAAAACATAAAATATCTTGTATGAATAAAGAAGAATTTAAATAAAAGTAATCGAATATTAAAATTTCGATTTATTGTTAAATGTGTGCTATATAATTATTAATGTACCATTTGAAGCAATAAACGATGTGTGCGTCTGTTTAAACTTTGTCTAAATAAGATACCGCATCACTTGTTAAATATTTTACTTTATAAATTCAAATATTTTATGTTCCTTTAATGAATTTGAATTAAAAAATTGATATAGATAATTAAGAAAGAGCCCATATACTTACCATATATGTGGGAATACAGAGAATAGGTGGTAGTATAAAGCTGCTCAAAATCGCTGTACTGCAACGCCGTTCTGTACACAATATGTGACTTCTATCTGAATACCTATAGAAAAAAGTATTTTTCAAATCAAAAATATATGCAATTCTTGGCCCTTTCCTCTTTCTTGTTTATATAAATGATCTGACTTTCATGGTAGAGAAAAAACATCAGATAGTTTTGTTTGCTGATGACACGTCCTTGATTTTTAAAATCAAACGACAAATAACAAATTTTGACGATGTGATCAATGCTCTCTCTTCGATTGTCCATTGGTTTAGTATGAATATCCTTCTACTTAATGCAAAAAAAAAAACAAAATGCATTAAATTTTGTGCAAAAAAATGCAAGGGTTATGGATACTAGACCAATTATAAATGATGAAGAATTGAATCTGGATGATACTGTATTTCTTGGGATCACCATGGATTCAAAATTTCAGTCATATTACGCGGTTAAAAAAATTCGCTCACTAACTGATGTCGATACAGCTAGACTTGTTTATTTTAGTTACTTTCACAGCTTAATGACTTATGGCTTATTATTATGGGATCATGCTGCTTATGTCGAAACTATTTTCGTGCAATCTATAATTTAAGATGTAGGGAATGTCTGAGAGATAAATTCAAGGAAATTAATATACTTACCTTTCCCTCGCAATATATTTATGAAAATATTATGTATGTATAAAAAAATAGTGATAAGTTTACTAGAATAGAACATACGCACAATGTTAATACTCGGAACAAACGCAGGCTGCAGTTTCCCCGTACTAGACTATCTAAAGTTAGTAATTTCTTTTTTGGGAAAAGGGATACTCTTCTTTAATAAAATCCCAGAGGCTCTTTTATCTCTGCCTTTTAATAAATTTAAGAAATGTATTAAAGAAAAGCTGTGTAAAAAGGCTTACTATAAAGTTAACGATTATCTAGTTGATAAAAGGGCCTGGGACTAGTGCTGGACAGGCTACTTCTAATTAATTTGCGATATTTGTTTTAAAATAAGTGTTGTTTGATGATTTGCTATTTTAAAAAGTTTTTAACGCCGGATTTCTCTCTCGGCCTACACCCTCTGTCTTCTTTGCCGATGAGTAGGGATGTCTACCGTTTCAAATTTAATGACGTGGAATAAGTGATACCTGTATCTTATGTTCCATAATAAACATTTTTTTTTTTTAAATTATAATATTAAATAAGGACCTGAGAATTTGAATTAATTTTTAAGACACCAGGGAGTTGTGGTATTGATAAGAATTGAGTATGGACGTTACGTTTGAGCAGGTAGCATCCGATCTGCCAGCAAAATTTAGACATATGGTCATATTTCCTAAGACCAAATATAAAGGGTATTCAGAAATTTTGCAGGCCATCGATCTTGTCAAGCAGCTCTTAATCCATATCAGAGGTGCATGAGGCCGCATAATCGAGGATAGGAAGCAGGAGAGATAGCGCTAACATATTATACTTTGTTTTCCTTACAAAAGTATAAGTATTTACACCTTTTAATATCGTATACCTTCGGCTTTATTTTGTCGATTATTTTTATTTATTTGAAATGCTTTTATCAACCCACGTGTAACAGCACAATACATATTATATTAATAAGCTTTAACGATGTATAAAGGACAAGAGTCCAGGTTTATGTAGAAATGCTTATTGAATTGAAACTATAAATTGATGAATAAGGAGTTTGTCTGAGTAGAGAGATTATTTTTAATTGAACAACTCAGTTATGCTCTACATTGATTTTACACCTTTTTTACTTCCGAACTTACTTAACAAAACACTAAAATGAATTTAGTGGTCTCTGTGGAAGTGTACCTACAATGTTGGCAGAATTTTATTGCTAAATACAGGACAGCAATAGCTTTGCGAGGAAAGTTCCCAGTTCTAGAATCACCAGTACTGTCTACCAGGTGCCAACTTAATCTTATAGTAGCAAAAATGCAATAAAGTAGTCTTATTTTTACTTTCTTTTTTAGCATTTGTTCCTCTATTTTAAGTATAATTTTGTCTACTGTTTAAGGTCAGACGTTTAAATCTGAACCACTGTTCAAGAAGTTTTGTGTTGCCTGGTTTGCGTAGTCGGAAAAATAAATAAAACTCACTTTATAGCTATATATCGCCAAACAGCCAACGATAGTGTGAGACATATGGATGCTGTGTGGAAGATCTGCGCGAAGTGCATGTGGAATAGGAGATATGCTGCCCACTTGTATGGCATCTCACGTTGTCCAGGTAATATCTGTAAAATGTTAGTTATGTATACATTCATTATTCATTTTTGTGTGTACTTTTCTGTTATTTTCTAAAACAGAAATTACATTCGATATATATAACAAAATACTAGAATTAGAAAGCTTTCTTAAATTTGATATAAATCACGTGATATGCCTTTTACATACTGTTATTCCAAAATAAATAGATTCCGACTCCCTCTCAGTCGCTGACCTTTACAAAGAATATTATACGAAATAAAGCAAATCAAAACGAGACGACTACTCAGTACGAAATATAATAAAGGAGAAGAATAATTGAATAGAATATATTATATTCTAGTTTCAAAAAGTTAAATGCAACATTATTCAAATGTACTTCGACATTGACTATACATATTTCTTAAAAAAATCGTTTATTTACAAAGAAAGTGGTACATTTATTTCGATCGATGAATCAAAAAAATCCGCACTATCAGCCATATAAAAATTGGCATGCAAATGCCATATTAATTTTCATAATGTCATCTAATAATAACATGGACATAAAATAATAATAAGTAAAGTTATTTATAATTGTTGTCAAACTTATGGTAAGCAAGGTTGAAAAACTTGTCTTGAAATGTTGAACTCTGGATATAACTTCAGCACAAACTAAAGCAATTTCTTCAACGCGAGCCGTGTAACAAATAGTTTCCGTTAAGGTGTAACAATAAAGAACCTGTTGATTTATTGTCCATATTTTAAGTTCTTAGAAGATATGTCTAGACGGTGTTCTATTACAATATTGATCATCCATTCTATTATAAGTTTAAGATGTATAATAGTTAATTAAATGTGAGCAGTGGTGGTAGCCTAGTGCTATAACGTAGTACCCCTTTTTGCGATTGCATGTTACAATGAATAGATGCAGATGAGGCAAAGAGAGCTTTAAAAATAATAACTAAAATATATTATTAAGGGGAGTCCCTTTAGGCAAGGTTCCGAAGATACTGGCAGTGTTCCCCCTTTGAATAGCTAGACTAAATCTTTGTCCGAGGTAGCTGCCAGCTCTTCAGTCTCCTGTGTTGTCGACTAACCTTTTTGCTATTTCCTTAAAAAGCCTTGTAGAGCTAGGACCCCATGAACCAATGGTCTCGACACCGAATGGGACAAAATCATATTTGGAGCCTAGACCCTAGATATATATCGGTATATATACCGAAACCGAAAACGCATGACATCAATACAACTGTTTAGGACACTCCGCTTTAAAAAAGAGAGTAGTGCTTTAGAATAGAACAGATTCTATTTAGGTAAAGTTTTTATGGGGAAATCGGTATCTAAATTGATGTTTTTTACAGTTATTATTGTTCCGTACCATCCTCATTCCGATTCTACGAGGATAATAAAATACCATAAAGATCCATTAATCTTAAAATAATAATGAAATAAAATAACGTAGATTGCACGATAACAATTTCTTTATAAAAAAAACATCTGAGTTAAGAGGCTTCAATAGAATTGATTTACAACTTAAAAAAAATTACGCAGAAAAATTTATATATACCCATATATACCAAAGGGGCTACAAACCTTTTAGGTCTGGGCATCAGATTTCTGTAACTGCACCATGATAATTTCTAATAGGTAAGTAGGTGATCAAACTTCTGTGACTGACACACAACGACGATTTTGAGATCGCACATAGACAGAAAGTCCATTGGCCGAGGATGGAACCTTTGACACCAGGGATGAGTATCGCACACTGAAGCCACTAGGCCAACACTGCTCATTCATATACCTTTAATTAATGTATTTGCACTAACCATTAACAGATTCACAACACAAAAAAAAGAAAACAAGATAAAAGAATATTAAGAAACAACAACAATGAATAATAGAAGTAATTTAACAAATACACACAAATCTACACAGTATTATAAACATGATCCATACTCACCAAATACCTATAAATTGCAAAGGGAACATACTCCATCATAACAAACACATCAGCCACGGCGAGCCACTTGAGCAGTCTGTTGATTGGAGCCGCAGCGAGGTCACGTCTTGTCAGAACAGCCACATTCAGCGCATTTGCTAATGAACCGAAAACGCATACCTGCACAGAAATCAAGTTTTATGCTAGGAGTCCGCGAACTCCAAATAGAAATTTTTCCAACAACCTGACCTCGTAACATTACTGAAATAGGCCAAGGGCGGATCTAGAATTCGCGATAGTGGCAACACAGACAAAGAATAAGTTTCATATTCACTGCGTGTGTTTAGTAAACTATCACACTGTAACTAACTGTACACTAATATGACCAATTTCAATTCCTTGAAATAAGTCAATACCATATAGTAATATATTTTATTTAAAAAAATAACGGACGGTGATTGCCGGATATGAGGTGGTTCTGTTTGGGGTTTTCTTAGTGAAATTAACTAAAAATTGTATAGTTTTGGAATTTGCGTAACATTGTAAGTAGTATTTTTTGTTGGATTTTTAATTTAGACTTTGTTTTGAAGCTTTATTTGAGTTGTTTGCTTAGGGAAATACCCTCAAATAAGGTGCACCATAAAAGATGGTGGTGGTAGAAAAATTAATACATTCGTTATTATAATTATTGTATTGTATTAGTTGTTTGTATTACTAAGTTTTTTTTTAAATATCTACTCCACAGTGTTTTTTTAGACAAATAACCCAAAATAATTATTATATTCAAACCATATCTCTGATTTTAAACACGCTCATTTTTATGTCTTAAGAGAGCCAGTACAAAAAGGGATAAAAAGCAACCATTTTAAAAACACTTAAACACATGTCTGCGCCCGTGTCCCACAGCAATAGCGAGACGCAAAACTAAAGTTGATTGCATAATTTAGTTTGAGTGGGATTCTAATTTGCAACTTGAACTTTAACTACAATAATTTACTATGAGAAACTTTCAACTCACAAATTGGCTTTAGGATGAAGTACATTAATCATAATAAAGCTTGTTGGATGGCTATGTCTTTAGAGAACTTGTTAAGCCTTTATCAATAATGGTCACAAATGTTAAATTTACTTAGGTTACTCTTAGCCGCTACTGGAGAAGAGAAAGTGACGGAAGCTACAGAAAAATGTTTGAGGATGCTTTCCCAATTACATAACATTTTATATTAGGTCCTTACATATGAAATTGGCGTTTTGTATGGGAGGAACAAAAAGTCGAATATTTTTAAATATAATATATTTAATTAATCAAAGTATGAACCATTGTTTTCTATGCACTTTTGCCATCTCATAGGTAGTTCATTGATCCCTTTACTAAAAAAACCAGTCGGACGGGAATCAATAAAATCTGTGAAGGCGATTTGGACTGCCCCATCAGAGTTAAATTTTTTCCCTTGCAAGAAGTTGTCCAAATTTCGAAAAAAATTGTAGTCTGTTGGAGCAAGGTCCGGGGAGTACGGAGGATGTCTTAGACATTCCAATTGAAGCTCTTCTAATTTGGTAGCCGTCTGTTGTGCAGTGTGTGGTCTAGCGTTGTCGTGAAGTAGCAGTGACGTGGAGCGATTGACCAGCCTAGGTTGTTTAGCCGCTAGCTTTTCCATCATGGTTTGCAATTGCTGACAATAGACATCAGCCGTAATAGTCTGGCCAGATTTGAGAAAACTGCAATGAACAATACCGGCACTAGTCCACCAAACACTTACAAGTAACTTTTTTGGGGTTAATTTTCGCTTGGGGCAGGATTTGGCTGGCTGGCCAGGATCCAACCATTGCGCTGAGTGCTTTCGATTATCGTAAAGAATCCATTTTTCATCACAGGTAATGATTCGGTTTAAAATACCTTCATTATTGTGCCGGTTCAGTAATGTAACGCAGCAGTCGACGCGCGTTTGGCGGTTTGCTTCAGTCAATTCGTGAGGTACCCATCTTTCAAGCTTTTTAATCTTCCCAATTTGCTTCAAGTGAATTAAAACAGTTTTATCACTAACACCGCAGCCTGCAGCTAAGTCGGACGTGGTTTGCGATGGATCCGCTTACACAATAGCCTTCAATACTTCATTATCAACTTGTGCCTCAGGCCGTCCACGGGGCTTGTTCTGCAGGTCGAAATTTCCAGAACGAAAACGTTGGAACCAAAAACGAACTCTGTTTTCTTTTGCAACATGACCGCCATACACATCATTCACCCTTCGAGTCGTTTCCGCAGCACTAGTGATACGGCGGAACTCGTACTCGTAAATAATGCGATACTTTAAGTTTTCCATTTTGTAAAATGAGTGACGCAAACAGAAAAAAACAAATGAATGACGGTCATCGAAGCACAAATACATGAGTAAATAGCTGTACAAATTTGAATTTGGAATTCCTTACCAAAGAGGAGAACATCGTGATTAAAGTGGCCAGTACGAAATACGCCAATTTCATATGTAAGGACCTAATATAAACCAGAAAAATGTTCAATATAAACGTGTTAATCATCATCATGGTCTCAAATTCGTTGGATTGTTACAGAGCATAATTTGGAAAATATATAACGTAAATACAAACTTTTGAAATTAATCAAAAAGTTTTCTTGCATTTTTGATAAGTAGCCTATAAAACCAATATATCTTTGTTTTGCTTTCATTGTTCCACTTTCCTATACTTGTAAATACAGAGACTTCCCACAGGAAAACTGTAGGAAACTTCGAGTTGAGTTGAGTTGGCGAGTTGTATAAAATTTTCTATTTAAACTTTACAAAGTATTCAACACTATTTTAAAATCCGTGTCCGAGAAATATTGTATATTTCTTCTCCAAAGCGCTTATAAATAGTTGTCAGAAATGTGTACATCTTTGACATTAAAGGTTTAATTTACTGACGCAGTAGCTTGGTGGTAAAAATTAAGTAATATTCGCAAACGAAAACCGTATCTCAAAGCACACCGCTTTACTGTGATTGCGAAAAATAAATGTATTTTGGGCTTAGTAGTCCGTAGTAATTATTTTAAAGAATTTGCGCAAAATTTGTTGTAGATCATCCATTTATTTGTATCATTATATAAGAACCTTTTCTGGTAAAAGTTATTTACGAGTTCGTTAGTCGCGAATTGGCAAACACTTAGGTGATTTATTTTCTTGAATGTGTCACGTAACTCGCTCGTTGGGAACTAAATAAGAGATAAGTATCGTCGTATAAACCAATATTCATTATACCCGCGAATACGAAGTATCCAGGAATACGTATGTTCGTGCCCGGTAAATGAATTGACCAGTCATTGCGTAGAACTTTAACCCACCACGCAAACTCTGGCAAACGTGACGAGGTTAATAATGGACGATATATATATGTAATGAGTAAAGGGCTTGTCCCGTTCTGCAACTTTCAGTAAATACAACACGCGGCTCCGTTTCTGCGACAGTTACCAGTTAACGCTTTAAAAAAGTATTGTTATTACTAATTTTCCAACCCTAAATAATTTAATCATACAAGAAACATACATCAAATACACAGAGTAGTATTAGCTGCCATGTCTTGTCGTCCAAGTTCGAATAGCCAGACATATTCCACTCATTATCCAGTTTCTGGTCCAATTTGACGCATTTGGTCGTATTTATTATTATTCTTAGTTTTTGATTTATTTTTTTGGAACCTGTATGTTTAGTTATTGTAAATCTTATAGCTAAATTACTATTTGTGAATCCCGATTGTCCGTAACTGGTCCTTAATGTTGATATTTTTGTAAATCAGTTTCGGAATCTGTAAGGCAGCTTCTGTGGGCTTTCTTATTTAAATAAATAAATATCCGACAAACAATATTTAAATAAATGTGTAGACCTACAGAAAGCACACTTAAACGAACAATATAAAGTGTCTACAGAAATAAATATAACATAAACAAATTTAAATAAGGAATTCTATTTATAACGTGAACAAGGTTCAAACATAAATGCAATGTCACTCAATGCAGATGTAATGTTTAAGCTTCAGTTAGTATGTTGTAGCACGTACAGTGTTTGTCTGGTTTAGGTTTTTTTATTGGTCCTAGAAGTTTATACATATTTAAAGACAGTAAAATATTAATAGCATAATATTGTCTCGGATATGATAAGGATAAGCTAAAAGAATATTATAAGAATCGAAATGAATTATTAAAACAAATATCATAAATTACAAGTAAGTAATTATTATAATACGTTTTCATCAAAAAATAATAACGCCTATCTCCAATATGAATCACAATATTAATTCAAAATGCTGACCTTGTTTATTGTAAGCACGAATCGTACAAAAATCTAACTTTAGTAAAACAAGCGGCGTTTAAAAAAGTCAATTAATCAAAACAAGTCAAACGTAATACAAAAGTGCTGCTCTATTAACAGATCTAAAAAGTGTTCAGTATGTGCTTCTTACATATTGATGTGTTTGTCGACGACTAAACACATTATGTAATATTTGTTCTGTTTGTTGCCATTGGCAGAATATCTTACATTCTCCAAGACAACCTGTCATTCCTGTCAATGTCAGGATGACATTAATTATGTCACGGTCGAAATAGTTTAAAAATCCTTTGGTATTTATTAGTAATTATAAGTATTTAAATTTTATAGTCTTTCATTTTGAGTTTTACAAACCATATCAGCCACATTATTCATGTTTTACCTATGATCCGTCATTCGTTTAAAATAATTGCTGTTTCAAAACATTATCTCTATATTAGGTCAAAAATTTCGTCATCGATAAACAATCGAATAACAGGCTAATTGATGTCAATATCGCTTTCAGACTCGTTACGAACATATACAAACAAGTGGATGTTTACAGCCGGTCATTAAGAAATTGACTCTTAAAGATATTGTTAAAATATAGTCTAGCGCTACATTATTATGGGAGCATTTATTATTGTATATAAATCATTTTTATAGCTAAAACGTATTTTTACCGACTTATGGGTAAATTTCTTTTATGTAGAACGCCATTTACATAGAGACAATAGATAGAACGTTTTGAAAACTGTGTTCATCTTTTAAATATTTCAATTTTTTTTTTCAGCAGTATTGCATCGAGCGTAACTCATTCTTTGTAAATAGTTCAAAAAAAAAAACTATTTTAATGGCTTATTATATTTGTTTAATATAAACAAATTAAGGATTAAAATATAATCAGTATATATATTTCCATATATGAAACTCATATCCCCCTGCAATATCCTTGGGCTAATAAGAAAATCCTTTTAATCTCAATTTCATAAAACAAGACTCGTTCAATGCATATTATTTAATTTTTATTAACCATAACCGGGCCATAAAGTACAGCAGTAAGTTGTAAAAAGCGTCTGAAATTGCGACGTTATATAATGTAAAGCTAATGATATTGTACTGTGTTAAGTACAAAGAGTAGGACTAGTACAAATGCGATGTTGTTATTATTTGTGTTTCCTTTCGCATAGAAAATGAAAAAGATTAACATAAAAAACCCTTTTATAATGTGGTTTGTGTAAACTATTGATTAAACTAAATGTAGCTCAGACTTAAAAGGAAGTCTGCGGGGTTAGAATTTTAATATCGTGTATGAATTAAGTTAACACATATACTACAAAAGTAATTGTACTCACAATAAGGCTTATGTATCCATGTATGCTATTGTAGGCGAGGATAAGATCTCTGAAATTACCATCGCAATAATTACACAACGGCTCCGAGTTCTTTGTCAGGTTTAATTTCGTCCGCCATCCGTCTACCAATTTCACCAATGTTCCAAAGTCTATCTCCTGATTATGCCTCGTGGAACGTTCCTTCAGTGCTGATAAAAATTGAGAGACATTTAAACTTTTATTCCCACCGGGGCTCTCAGTCGCGAACAACACTTCCTCGAACAAATTCGTCAAAGCCTGCGTGATATTTGATGTGTTATTTTCTTCATAAGCCATTTTTCTTCAATAAGTATTCATAGCTTTGGCTCGGAGAATATGTTTGAGCTCGGTTCACTTACGTAAAATGATCCCGCCTGAGTGCTGCAAAGGAAAATTGCTTCAGTTTCTTGTTTAAGAGATTTTGACAAACAAGTTGTTTGTCCGCCTCGAGGTGCTTTATTAAGTAAATTATGTTTAGTATGTTTAGATTGTTTAGGCTTTTAAACCAATCTTGAATATTTAAAATAAATCTTTAATTTTTTTATCTTTAGTGACTTCTCATATATCCCTTTATGAACTTATGATATGATTAATATTTAAATTTGACAACAGTCTGGTTCAACCGAGTCTTTGGTAAAGGCTCACTTTGGGAAGATGTATCCGTAAGTAAGTATTATTGATCTTGGAAACAATAATTGTAACTATAAAAGATAAAAATATTTTAAATTTTATAGCCAATACCATAAATGCTAAATTACAAATATTTGATTTGAAATAATATTTTTTAATGTAAACAAATTGAAAATGTGAAAAATAAAGGCTTCGTTCAGTCATGTCAAAGCTTTTCTACCCGAGTAAATGGAGGTTGCGTAAAAGTTTTTCATCGGAAGCCGTAATTTCTCATGTCTCATGTCAAAATGAACGATAAATCAGATAATATTGGAATTATTTTTTACATCTTTTAATGTCAGTGGTATACGAGTACTTTAAAAATATAAAAAAAAAACAAGAGAAAATAGAACTAAAAATATAATACAATAGACCTAATAACCTATTTCGGATTTATTTCTCTTTAAAAATGTTAAACATACATTATGAAGAAATTAAGCGTGTTACATTGTATTATGTTCATATGTGTGTATGAAGTTATGTTTGTGTGCGTGACAGGTCGAGAAATGGATAAAATACATTATTTTGTCTGACCAAAGCTAGTTCGCAGGTCATATCATACTGGACCTTGCTCGCTCTGGAAAGTAATTATAAGCAAAGCAAAAGGTAATAGCAAATGCACACTGCTACCTTTATGTATTTATGTTTGAATTTTGTCAGTAAATAATTATTTTTAATACACCAGACAGAGCTTCAGATACTTGTTTAAAAAAATAAAAGAAGAAATTGTTGTAAACAGTTTAAAAAAAATCAAAATTGTAATTTAGAAAAACAAAAAATTAATAACTTTGTTATGGAATTAACTATTATTTTTCTCTTTAGCTGGGATTCCTGACAAAAATATTTTTTTCTTAAAAGGGTTTCCAAATCTTACACAGTGTAATGCATGGGTATAATGAAAAAACAATTTCTGTTTCTTTTCCTGTGAATTACCGACACTAACTATTAACGACATTAAATTTTTAACTGGTTTACCTCATTTCTGTAATGTCTTTATTAAAATTTCGTTAATTTACTACAAATATGTACTATTAATTATCATCAGGATTAAGAATTAGACTTGATCAAGTGTTATTAATTTTTTATGAGTCAATAAAACATGTTAGTTGGTTATAAAGTAATAATTACCGACCCATAAAGTTTGTAAGGGGCACATTGAGATGCTATCACTAATGCTATTCAACTAAACCTACGTTTGGATGCTGCATCGCCAACTTATCTTTTTTATTGTAAAATATTTTTTAATAACAATAAATGTAGAAGTAATGGAAAATTTACTGCAATGTCCAAGCACTAAGCTTAAACCCCTTTAGTGTTTTTCTGAGCATGTAGCTAAAGTTTATATATATACTTTTATTGAAAAATGGAAGGACAGGGAGCGGTGGAGGTTTCTCCCTGCGGACAAGACACATTTTGGGTCTCAGAGCCAGAGTGTATGTAAATAACTGAAAATATAATATTTAATATCGTACAAGCTAGCAATTACTTAATAGATTTGTCGCACGAGTATAGAGTGAGATAGGAATTGAAGCAAATGAGTAGACACCGCAAATATGCACCAAGTTTAGAACATATCACGTGAGTTCACATTTATACTTAATAGTTTAGTATATGTATGCAATTAAATAGTAGTAGTCAATACGGTTTGCATTAAGTAATTATTGTTGATTTTCATTTATTTCCTACGTAATTATTAGCTGCGACATAGTATAAATGTTTCTGGTCGGGTCTGAAACTTCATTAGAGATAGCGATCTCGACGTGCTTGTATGCAATTGCGATCTAGTTCTTTCAATAGTAATCGTTTTTTAAACGGTACAAAAATATTTGCTAAATATTAAATAGTGTTTTTTGAACAATAACACATCTGTTTGAATATTTAATCAAGCTGTCTCAACATAATCCTACATTGCCCCGAGGACTTGCTCTTTAGCATTGAATCAGAATATGTATACAGGTAAACAATTGTTCTGTAAGCAGAAAATTTAAAGCTCATTTAATCAGTTCTACCGTACCGAGCTTACCTAATTCTTCTTCTAATTACGACTGATTTAATTACAGTTCAAGTTTGGTAGCGCTGTGGTCAATTTAATTTACAAGATTTACGGATGACTGATATCAATGTCGCTTTTATATGTAAGAACGGATGAATATATTTTTCAATTAATTCGGTTATTTCGAATAAGTTAATAAAAAAGGCACTTTTCTACCTGAATATACCGTGTTCTAGGATAATCATTGCTGAAATATTAAGGTCCACGCTAACGTGATTGACATCCCTCCAAAGTTTTCGATTTATAATAGACCTACTTGCGATAATAACGTATATTTTATATAAAGAATAAAAACATAAAAAGCGTTAGTTGAATAACGTACGCAGAGATGCTGGAACAAAGCTGAATAAAAATAGGACTGTCCCATGTCACAGAAATAAGCTATGACACAAAGCTAAGAAGCTCGACAAGGATTACAAAGGCAAATATTATTTAACATTACACAGACATTTCCGTTTAGTCACTTCCGCATAGGCCCAGCGCTTTTTAAATTTTGGATAAGAAATCTATAGTAACGATTTTTCAAGATTGATTTTTCTTTTGTGAAAATTCACAAGGTTTACTTCCCATTTCTTATTTCTTCTGTGTTTAACCATATTATGAATACTAAGTTTTATGGGCATTTGGTTTGTCTTTTTTATATTTTTTATATTTTTCTGCTACCTTCAAAATATCTTGAATTGCGTTCAATTGTTGTATTGTATATATAGACATGCCCTTGCGTACACGGCGCACTACACGTAACGGATAAATTACTTCTTTTTATTACTCAAACACTGCCGTAACCGCGAACTGAATGAATAAACAGACTATTCACAGCTCCCGAGCGCTTTTACAAAAATATATAAATTATCACGCCAAGTAAGCAATACGAGGCCCTATCAACGTTTGTACATACTTTAATTTACAAATAAATGTAAAGTAATAAGTGAAAAATATAGATATATTACTGTTATGAAATTGAGAAATCGGAATGTTTTTTGAAAAGTGAACAAAGTATACCACAAAAAAAATAAAAACATAACTTGTACAATTCATGAAAAATTAAACCATTAATGTTAAAACATTATAAAGAAATACCTACACAGGCTACTCAGTGTGTATTTAGCTTCACTCTGTGGACATTACTATAGAATGTTTTCTCCTTATTAATTTTAAGGGACTTGGCAAATTAATAAAAGTAACAAAAGATCATTATGTCGTAATATGTTAAAGGACCGACTGTTATTCACTATTAATGCTTAGCTCCGATATTTTACGTCTTGTAATACCACAAATAAATTACCTAGACTGCCTGTCGGCTGTCTTGTTTAGAAATCGTATTTCTCTAGGGTTTCTATAGCTTTTTTGTATCGTATTCTTATTCAATAAGTATCTATTGAAAATCATATTGCTTATCCAAAAATATCGTAAATATTTATTTTTTGTTAAGAAGCTATATTCACAAACTACAGAAGACATTTTGTGATATAAATAAGTACTAAGGGTTTAAATTAAAATCTCGGTGAAATATTTACTTCACAAGAGGCCGATTAGCTTCTATATGCCAAATGAGAATCATTTCCCCTTGAAGGGATCCCTGTTATACAAACTACAACCTTGGTGGTCTACAAACATTCATTAATAATGGTGTAAATTATATCAATTAAAGTGTGAAATGATAAAAGATATTTCAAACTGCAAATAGTCAAATAAAGGAAATTGGGCAATCATCAATTGCACTCAATACTAGCGAGAATAGGTTCATCACGTAGACTAATAATAAACATTGAAATTAAAGCATAATTGTGATCGGAAAATCTAACCTTTATATGTCCCTAAAGAGAAGTAGTGCTTATAAATCTTAATTATGATGTTAACACTAAAAGTTTGCCCCAAAACTGTATGCACTTATCTCAATAAATTGTATGTACAACGCATTGCGGTGTTTTATGAGACCACCAGTCATTATTATATTTAGAAAACTAAACAGATACAAAACAAAATAAAATTACAAATTGAAAAATTTAAACGTAATTATTAAAAAACTGACGACGCTTCAACAGAAACTCTCTAAATATTGCCTCTACTAACTAATCTAACGATTCATAACAAAATTGTTATTATACAATCTATTCCTGCCATCTTTATCCAACTGACAATGAAAGGTTTATCTTGTACAAGCGCATTACATAATTCTTATTTTAAAGTCATCGAAAAATCTGAAATATCAACTGTATTCCGTGTTTATTAAGCTTAATAAGGGAAAGTAATACCAATTATTTGATTTCAAAACGATATTGTCGTCATTAACTGCTATAATAGTAGATTTAGAGAAGCTAATTTTATTTTATTTAGCTACGCATCAATTTTTTTTTAAATACAATATTTCCTTTTCAATTATCACTCGATATTTTCTTTACTCAAATACTAAGCTTTGACACAACATTTATTCATAATCTCCCGATGTATTTTACACGTGTTGAATTAAATCCGCTCTTAGTGTGTATAAATTCATTACTTATTAATACACTTAATATACATCATCAGGCCTCCACTTAGGATATCAGTAGATAATGTAATGTATAATTAATTT